GTGAGACTCCACAGGATTGCAAGGTGGGTATTGTGTGGTGTCCCCTCTTTTTCGTCTAAAAAAGATTTTTTAAGTCGAAATTTGTAATAAGTATGGAATTATACCAAATTCCGTATTAGCCGTTTCCACCCACGATTTTGGACAGAAATGGATTAAAACCCAGCTCTCAGGGTAAAAACCCAGTTATAACCCGGATGGGTTGACTGAGTTTTAACCCAGTCCCCATCTCTGATTGTAAATTAATCTTTTTTATTTATGCAAAGGTAAGGTAACTTTTTATTTGCCCTGAAGTATTTATATACTCCATGTGAGTTGGCCGATACTCTCTACAAATTGTAGAACCCAACCAGTCGTTTTAACGGTCTAGTGATGCATAACACAATACATCTGAACTTACTTTGAAGTTTAGTAAACAGATGACGTAAAACATATATTTCTTCTTTATCGAATATATACGATATTTCTGTATTGTACATATTTTCAATGTGCAGTCCGACTTCATGCTTGTAAAGCCTAACAACTAAGTAACTTTATCTCTGTCTGTGTAGTAATTGTTGGGTGTGATTTAAGTATCGTCTTGTGCTGTTATTAAAGCTACTTGGCTACACATGAAATGTTAAGGGAAAGCTGTAACCTATGACAAACTTCCCCAGGTTCCTACCTGTAAAGCTCGTTGTGAATGAGTTCGTCGTTGTTGTATTTTTGCGATTTAAAATTCTGAGTGGCACTGCAACTGTTATGGACAGGCATGTAGCTTACTATATATATAATATTTTATATATATGTATATATATATATATATATATATATAATATATATATTTGACTAGTGAAAATCCTTTCCTGCACACCCATTATCCTTCCCATTTCCGTCAGTTACCTGTACTATATTTATATATATCACATATATAGCCGCAGTGAGAGGATGACGTAGTCAGGAGGGTTTCATCGTCAATGAGACAGCGTTGGTGTTTGGATTCAAAGAGACCCTTATTTATAATAACTAGACTTCATACAAACTTTATATATATGTGTGCGTGTATATAACAATATTCTTTTTAAATGTACATTAAGGTAAACGTCTACTCAGTAGTGTGGTCTTGCACATCCGTCAGTGCACTGCTGAGTAGTTTATTATCCTTATGTTACAAATTTGTGTACGGCCAGGTTGTCTGTTCACGTCACGTGAACGTGAATAATACTGAAGTTATGAACTTATATTGTCTCACTAAGCCCAGGTTGTTTTCCTCAAAGCTCTCCAGTGTCTGGAAGCTAGCCAACTTCGGTTGCATTCTTTAACGCCCCTGCAGTGCCTTGTTATTAGTTGCTATCGATAGGTAGCTGTTATAGTATATTGTGATTATTTAGAATAAAACATTTCATTATTAAATGAAACATTGTTCCGAAATGGTAACAAGTACGTCAGTATTGTTCTGAAAAGGTACGTGAGTGTCCGTAAGTTGTCAACCCGTTCCCTTGGCAGTGACAGGTTTTGACCGAACTTTTAATGGAATTCCAGAGTGTTACTGTATACCAATTTCGTATAGCCACATGTTTCCGAACAAAAAACTAAACCAGAAAAAATAAAACGGTCCTTGTACCTAGAGAACGAGAGCGTGCTCAGATTTAATTTTGAAATGGTTATAAGTATTCTACTATAACAGTTCATTTGTAGCATTTCTTTACAGTCTTTGTTCTAATTCTATAATTGCAACTACAACTAGGACTCTATTAAAGTACGCTTGTACGTTTAAACTTACTACCAAATACAGATCTAAAATGTCAGATAGTACAAGAAAAAGTGAAAAATTTGTTTTCGGTAAATTAAATAAATAAATAAATAACGCACACACTCAACATATTAGGGAATACATATTAGGCCCCGCATTAGGGAAACCCTGTGTCGCGGGTGCCATGGACACACACATAGACAACCACAAATTACACCCAAACTCACGACACAAATTTATTACGTGTTGTAAAAAGTCCTAAAACGAAAGTTGTTGTCCATGATGAGGTAGTTAGTATTTTACAAATAATTATGTGTATGGCAAAGTCTGAGGTCAATGTATAATTAAAAAAGTATAAATCGTTGAACAACATCAATGAAACATCTTTTCATTACAGTGTTTCAAGTAAACGTATTGAAATAGGAAGATGATCTTTTGTTTTACAGTTTACTCTTAGCTACACGCTGTGTACCATGCCGATTTGCACTTCTTTCTGGCAGTTGTCCAAAGTACAGTACAGTAAATCCCATAGGATCAGATTTTCGAAAACTATTAAAACTTCTGTATCTCTATCGTTAATTTTACGACGGAAGTTTTTATTTTTTGTTCATGTTTTAGATTAATTTTATTAATAGAATACAGAATTGTATGTAAGTACGTATTTAAATAGTAGTATGTAGGGGAGAAGCGAGACAGATTCGTTCACTCTTTTTAACTTTAATTTTGGGCAACTAAATAATAATAATAATAATAATACCACATACTCGTAGATACACGCCATACTGTATTTACTTGACTTCGGTCCGTAAATGCGTTTCAAACCAGCTAACAAGCTGAGAAGACTAAAGTAAATAATAATAATAATATAATGATAATGACATTGACATTGACATTGACATTGACATTGACAATGACAATGACAAAGACAAAGACAAAGACAAAGACAAAGACAAAGACAAAGACAA